GATAAATGGTTTTCAATATTTTTTTAAATAAATATGTGAAAAGTGTGGCATGCAATTGTTTTCAGCCACACTGAGTCAAAACTTTGTAGAACCACTATTAGCTGCCATTCTTTTTGGGGATGTCTCTACCAGTTTTGTACATTTAAAGAGTGAAATGTTTGCCCATTCTGGATGGAGAGCATCTGTGAACAGTAATTTTCAAGTCCGGGCACAGATACTAAATTGGATTTAGGTCTGGACTTTGCCTGGGCCATTCTAACACATGAATATGCTTTGATCTAAACCATTCCATTGTAGCTCTGGCTGTATGTTTATGGTCGTTGTCCTGCTGGAAGGTGAACCTCCGCCCCAGTCTCGAATCTTTTGCAGACTAAGATTGCCCTGTAGTTGCCTCCATCCATCTTCCCATCAACTCTGACCAGCTTCCCTGTCCCTGCTGAAGAAAAGCACAACATGATGCTGCCACCACCATGTTTTACGGTGGGGATGGTGTGTTCAGGGTAATATGCAGTGTTAGTTTCCCGTCACATAGCGTTTTGCTTTTAGGCCAGAAAGTTCAATTTTGGTCTCATCTGACCAGAGCACCTTCTTTCACATGTTTTTTTTGTGCCCCTCACATGGCTTCTCACAAACTGCAAATGGGACTTCTTATGGCTTTCTTTCAACAATGGCTTTCTTCTTGCCACTTACATAAAGGGCAGATTTGTGGAGTGCACAACTAATAGTTGTCCTGTGGATAGATTCTCCCACCTGAGCTATAGATCTCTGCATTTACCATGGACCTCTTGGCTGCTACTCTGATTAATACTCTCCTTTCCCAGCCTGTCAGTTTAGGTGGACATCCTCTTGGTAGGTTTGCAGGTGTGCCATACGCTTTCCATTTTTGGATGATGGATTGAACAGTGCTCCATGGGATGTTCAAAGCTTTGGATATTTTTTTTATATCCTAACCCTGCTTTAAACTTCTCCACAACTTTATCCCCGACCTGTCTGGTGTGTTCCTTGGCCTTTATGATACTGTTTGTTCACTACTATTCTCTAACAAACCTCTGAGGGCTTCACAGAACAGCTGTAATTATATTGAGATTAAATTACACACAGGAGGACTCATTTTACTAATTAGGTGACTTCTGAAGGCAATTGGTTCCACTAGATTTTAATTAGGGGTATCAGAGTAAAGGGGGCTGAATACAAATGCATGCAACACTTTTCAGATATTTATTTGTAAAAAATTATGAAAACCATTTACCATTTCCCTTCCACTTCACAATTATGTGCACCTTTGTTTTGGTCTATCACATAAAATCCCAATAAAATACATTTACGTTTTTGGTTGTAACATGACAAAATGTGGAACATTTCAAGGGGTATGAATACTTTTTCAAGGCATTGTAGTGTATTTGTGCATACTGACCTGTGCAGTGGTGGTCTGCCTGTTTTAGTATGGAGTACATTTGACTTTAGTAGATCATTTACAAAAGGACACGGCCTGATGAGTGATCGGGCATGTTGGAAATTTTTTTAAAAACTAAACAAATTTCTAATCAATGATGGGAGACTAGTGTGAGAAATATCAAAAAAGAAATGAGCATGAGCTGTGACCTGGTAAGAAAAGAAGATTCGCAGCCACGAAAATTCATTTCTGTAGCAACATTAGGTGAACTTGATGGCTTGGTTGGTTGATCCTGATATGCTTTGGTGTGAACTGGGCCTAAAGTGACAAGCCAGCCTTAAGCAGCGGAGACGTTTTCAGACATAGCACTGTGCGTGTATTGAAGAGGGAGCCAGTAATGGATGGGATGGCATAGCATGTGATTCTGATTGTAGTCTGAGATATACAGCATAAAAAGCAATGTTGGAGACCAACTGAATTCCCTGCCCTCAACTCTACCGAACATTGTTTGTCTTGTCAAATTGCACATCCAGGCATAGCAAGCAGAATATTGCAAAACTCTACACTTTCCTTTGTAAGGGTTAATTTCAGTCAAGATGCCGTCTAACCTGGGGTGCTTACCACCAGGACTAATGTACCCCGGAATAAGATCTGAATACACCAAGGTATTGCAGTTCGTATCCAAAGGTTTATTCACTATGTTCAAACTTATGTGCAAGCAGATGGGCAGGCATATTATGGCCTGTAACCAATACAAATAATACACATTTATCAAGAGTATACATTTTTAGAATATTCATGAGTCATGCATAAACCACCTGAAAGGAAACTAGTCATTTATAGGTAAAGTTGATCCAGGGAATATCCGATTGCCTCTCGGGGGATCAGGAAGGAATGTTTTCCCTGCAGGAGCAAATTGGATCATGCTTTGCTGGGTTTTTTTGCCTTCCTCTGGATCAACTGTGGGTATAGGATTATAATTTTTTTTTTTAATGGTTGAACTGGATGGACTTTTGAGTAACTCTATCAGTGTTCATTTCATTAGGCCTGGTTCTCACCTATATATGTTGCGATTGATGCGTTTCTCCAGGGCATTTTGCATTTTTGACATGTTTAACATTTTTTTTTTGCCAATAGGAAAGTATTGAGTGAGACTTTGATGTGACTTTGAGTAGAGAGAGTGTAAAGTCACATCAAAGTGGTGCAGGAACCTTTTGAAAGTTGCTGCAGCTTTGAAAAAGTTCCTGTGCTATTTTGATGTGACTTTTATGTGACTTGAGTGCCAGAGAGTGTATAGTCGCATTAAAGTTGCATCAAAGTCATTATTTAATACTTTCCTATTGGCCAAAAAAAAAGCAAAAAATTGTTGTGACTTTGAAAATGTTCCTGCACCACTTTGATACATCATCACCCAGTCTTAATTCTGGGTTCGCGGGCTGGGGCCACTTGAATGGCTGAGCTGCGATGATGTCATTCCCACACATGCGTGCCAGAGTACTTGACAAGGCACAGAGCACTGATGGAACGGCACAGCCCAGAGTGCATGCGTCGGTGATGTCACTGGCTGCCAAACAAGCGGATATCTCCTAGATTGTAAGCTCGAAAGAGCAGGGCCCTCAATCCCCTCATGTTTTGCATTGTATTGGTATTCTTCTGTCACATGTTCTGTCCCCCTTTGTAATGTACAGCGCTGAGCGAACTATTGGCGCTTTATAAATACTGTATAATAATAATAATAATAATAATAAAATAATACACGGTGCATGTTTATATTGATTTAACCAGCAGTTAGGCTTTATTTTAAGCTTACCTGCAGGTAAAAATTAAAATGCGGAGATTACTACCACTTTAAAGGACTCTGTGCCTCTCTGTCACTGGGAAAGAAATGAATCTTATAGTCTGGGAATGACTTAGACTAAACATTGCAATGTCTAATAAATGTCACTAGAGCCTACACATCACCTCATAGTACAGACCTCCTTGTGACAAGACATTGGGGGGGGGGGTCAAGCAGTGTAATTGATGCGGTTGAGGAGAGGTGGATGTTGCTACAGAGACGATGAAAAACAATCTCACTCCATAATACGCGTGGTGGGGCTGTGTGATCTGACAAGTCAGTTGTGCGTGTAGCAGAACACATATCTGGGATACTTAGTAGAAGATGATTGGTGACATTTTACCAGAAAGAAGCAATTGCCATTCCTATTCACCTACAGTATGTTCTTGGTTATACAATGTTTGATTGAAAATTGTAATTCAGTCTAATTTTCCATAAATATATACATTAATGTAAAAAGTGCAGCCTATGGGAATTGGTTGACTTTTTCAACATATTTGGAAAGTCAAATGTTAGATCTTAAGTCAAATAGTGCCTTCAGATAAAGATTATATATAGAGATGGGCCGAAGACCCCCCTGTTCGGTAGAATGTTCAATCCTAACGAAAATTTGACTGCAAACTTCGAACAGAGACAGTTCACTAAGCGGTATCTTACAGCATCTGAGTATGTGGTAAGATACCGCACATCTACTAAAATACCGCATGAGTTATATTATTAAATCATGCTGTATTTTAGTAGTGAAGACAGATGAATGTAAAAAGAATTGCCAGCATTGCCCAGCAATTAAAACAATGTTTTTAAAAACGACGTTTGTTCCCCTCCTATTCATACCATGTCCTTCGGGACTAATATGGATTTTGAGGGAAACCCCCATGCCAAAATTTAAAAAAATTGCATGCCCCCCCCAAAAAATCCATACCAAATCCTTATCCAAGTATGCAGCCCGGCAGGTCAGGAAAGGGGAGGGACGAGCGAGCGCCCCCCCCCCCGAACCATACCAGGCCATATACCCTCAACATGGGGGGACAAGGGCCTCTTCCCCACAACCATGGCCAGTGGTTGTGGGGGTCTGTGGGCGGGGGGCTTATTGGAATCTGGAAGCCCCCTTTAACAAAGGGGCCCTCAGATCCCATCACCACCAACGACCCGTAAAAAAACTAAAAAAAAAAATAAGATGCTGGCTTCCATCATCTGACAGCTGCGCCAGGATGACAGTCCTTAATGTGAGGGCTGATCAAAGGGTTAACTGTGTGTTGGGAGTGTTTTACTAGGGGGAGGGGGGGGTGCTGCACTGTAAGCACACTGATCGGGATGGCTGAGCAGTGTGCCCGAGCTGACAGTGAGGAAGACTGTTTGTAAACAAAACAGTCTTCCTCCCTGTCGGTGATTTCGGTAATCACCAGGCGCCGGCGGGTAATCACCGGCCAGGACCCGGTAATTGACATCCACGGCCGCAAATGGCGGCGCTTGTAGGACACGTGTGTGGCTCGCGCATGCCCCCTACCCGTTAATGCAAATTCACCTATATATACGGATTTGGGCTGAAAGTGCACACTCTCAAGTTTAATTTGAAGGTATATACCGTATTTTTCACTCAATAAGCCCCACCTGACCATAAGACGCATCTAGGTTTTAGAGGAGAAAAACAAGAAAAAATATATTCTGAACCAATGGACTGCAGACATAGTACAGGAAATGACCAGAGACTGCGAACATAGTACAGGAGATGACCAGAGACTGCGGACACAGTACAGGAGATGACCAGAGACTGCGGACACAGTACAGGAGATGACCAGAGACTGCGGACACAGTACAAGAGATGGACCAGAGACTGTGGGCACAGCACAGGAGATGACCAGAGACTGCAGACATAGTACAGGAGATGATGACCAGAGACTGCGGACACAGTACAGGGGATGACCAGAGACTGCGGACACAGTACAGGGGATGACCAGGGACTGAGGACAGTACAGGAGATGACCAGAGACTGCGGACAGTACAGGAGATGACCAGAGACTGCGAACAGTACAGGGGATGACCAGAGACTGCGAACAGTATGTCATAGAAATATGCAGCGCTCATAAATCAGATCTCATATGTCAAAGAAACCTGATCACATATCATGAAACTGAATTAGTTAGAATTCAATATAACGGAATTCATAATAAAATGTACATTAAATATAAAGCATGTTAAACTCGTGACTTCTGTGGTGCATCCAGGGTTGGAAAACCAGAGGAAAGTTCGTGACTCTTGTGTTGAAAAAGCTGAATAATAGCTTGCACTAACCAGATGTCTCAGCACATGGAGCATGGAGTAATTAAGACCTACTCCTGGTACTCTGAAAGGAAGCCACTGGAGGGGATGATGTCATCTGATCTCTCGCCACTAGATGTCATGTTCCCAGGACAGCAGGACGATGATTCCAGAAATATACATCAGCCAATAGGAAGATGAATCCAGCAAGCCAGCCAGCAACACACAGGAGACCAAGAGGAACCAGGCACCTTCAAAAAGCCCGGGCTCCCTCCAAAAAAGAGAGCCACAGGCCAGAAGCTTGGATAGTGTAGTATTGTATTTATTCAGTAGTAATTTCAAATGATAAAAATCACACTTACAAATAAAGGTCACAGGAACATGGGGCAGCTAAATGGTATGTCCAGACAGTGTGGGGGCACCTCCCTAACGCGTTTCGTGTCACACACACGTTTTCAAAGCCAGAGACTGCGAACAGTACAGGGGATGACCAGAGACTGCGAACAGTACAGGGGATGACCAGAGACTGCGAACAGTACAGGGGATGATCAAGAGACTGCGGACAGTACAGGGGATGATCAAGAGACTGCGGACAGTACAGGGGATGACCAGAGACTGCAAACAGTACAGGGGATGACCAGAGACTGCGAACAGTACAGGGGATGATCAAGAGACTGCGGACAGTACAGGGGATGATCAAGAGACTGCGGACAGTACAGGAGATGACCAGAGACTGCGGACAGCACAGGGGATGACCAGAGACTGCGGACAGCACAGGGGATGACCAGAGACTGCGGACAGCACAGGAGATGGCCAGAGACTGCAGACAGTACAGGAGATGACCAGAGACTGCAGACAGTACAGGGGATGACCAGAGACTGCTGACAGTACAGGGGATAATCAAGAGACTGCAGACAGTACAGGAGATAACCAGAGACTACAGACAGTACAGGGGATGACCAGAGACTGCAGACCTTTAGGGAGGGAGGGGGAGCGGGTACCTGAATTTTACAGGTACCCGCTCCCACTTCCGCGGAGTTGTCCTCCCTTTAGTGTGGGCACCCGGCTGTGACAGCCAGGTGCCCACTGCGCATGCGCGAGAAGAGCTGCACTTTGTGAATAGCCCGGCGTCTTCTAGGACCTGTCATGTGTCCCAGAAGACGCCAGATCATTCACAAATACCGGCCAGCCCGGTATTCTGACATGGTGGTGGCGGCGGCGGAAATACCGGACCGGCCGCTTTATATTCGCTCCATAAGACACACTGACATTTTCCCCCCTTTTTTGGGGGGAAAAAAGTGCGTCTTATGAAGCGAAAAATATGGTACATCCAAACTGGAGGAAGAGTTTAGGAAATACAAGAGTAAGAGTAGCCATCCCTCCTTTTTCAAGGGAGCAAAAGTAAGACAATTGAATCAAAAGCTGTTTCATGGCCAGGTGTGGGCTACTCGCTCGTTATTTCTTCATCAATTAAGCAGGTAAAAGGTCTGGAGTTGATTCTAAGTGTGGTATGTGCATTTGGAATCTATTGCTGTGAACCTACACCATGTGTTTAAAGGAGCTGTCCATGCAAGTGAAACAGGCCATTGTAAGGTTTCAAAAACTAAACAAATCCATCAGAGAGATAGCAGTAACATTAGGAATGGCCACATCACCAGTTTGGTACATTCTGAGGAAATAAGAACGCACTGGTGAGCTCAGCAACATAAAGAGGCATGGACGTCCACAGAAGACAATAGTGGTGGATGATCACAGGATCCTCTCTGTGGTAAAGAAAAACCCATTCACAACATCCAGACAAGTGAAGGACACTCTGCAGGAGGTAGGCATATCATTGTCAAAGTCTACAATCAAGAGAAGACTTCACGAGAGCAAATACAGAGGGTTCACCACAAAGTGCAGACCATTCATAAAGCCCGAAGAATAGAAAAGCCAGATTGGACTTTATCCAAAAAACATCTAAAAAAGCCAGACCAGTTCTGGAAAAGCATTCTTTGGATGGATGAAACTAAGATTAATCTGTACCAGAATGACGGGAAGAAAAGTGTGAAGAAGGTTTGGAACAGCTCATGACAGCTAGTGGTAAATACTGGCTGTGTTATTTTTTTTTTCCTTCTCCTTTATTTTCACCTGGAAATGCTACAAAAACAGACTTCCTGTCCCTTTGTGTCTATACGCTATGGAAGGAACCATAGTTGTCACACAGATTGGACATCAGTTTTAGCTCACAGGAAATTGACGACACTGCATTTCTGAAAAGATCAACTGATATTTTCTGTACTTGCTAAAACGTTCTTTCCTTGAAATAAGGAGACTAATGCAGACACCACATTTAAGGACTGTTTAGCTGTAATATATTGCATTTTTATTTTGGGGTTTACACTGCAGCTTGGTATACATGTTTAGATTTTCCTTGTTCAGCCCCACAGACTGAATGAGAAAAATCAATCACCTCCCCCATTCATGCTAAACAATGTGAATGGAGGAATCTCCCCTACTGCCTATTGTTTTCAGACAGCCACAGCACCCACGATTGTCTGAATATCCAGAGAGAATCTTCATCTGATAGGATGAAGCCACTGTTTGGCTGACAATTTTCCACTGCTCCTTTGATTTTTCAGCTGTTTTTTTTAGGAGCCAGGTGAGCCAAGCTAACGGGGCCCCCCCACAGCCTGAACTGTGGCCAATCGGGCAGCACAGTAGCTAAATGGTTAGCACTTCTGTCTGGCAGTATTAGGGTTGTTGGTTCAAATCCCAGCCATGGCACCACCTGCCTGGAGTTTGCATGTTCTCCCTGTGCCTGCATGGGTTTCCTCCGGGTACTCTGGTTTCCTCCCACCCTCCAAAGACATGCTGGTAGGTTAATTGGATCCTGTCCAAATTGGCCCTAATATGTGTATGTATGAATGTGAGTTAGGGACCTTAGATTGTACACCCCTTGTGGGTTAGGGACTGATGTGAATGTACACTATATATGTAAAGCGCTGCGTAAATTGACGGCGCTATATATGACCTGAAATAAATAAATAAATTCAAGCCATGAATTTTAAGCTACTAGCAAGCACAAAATGATTTGTGCTAGGTATATCAATATCCACTAGGTGTCACTTTTGGTCTTTTTTAAAGTTTACTTGGCAAAGCTTTGGTGGAATTGTTTTTGCTTCCTTTCAGTCAGTCTTATCATGAGCTTGCTGGTCATCCTGTCTTGGTCTCCATAACACTTGTTCCATAGAGCCAGCAGTCATAATTAACGTCATTATTTTTAATATTGTTGTCATTATTATCATACTGATCATAATGTAGGCAGCACAGTGGCTAAATGGTTAGCACTTCTGCCTGGCAGTATTAGGGTTGTTGGTTCAAATCCCAACCACAGCACCACCTGCCTGGAGCTTGCATGTTCTCCCTGTGCCTGCATAGGTTTCCTCCAGGTACTCTGGTTTCCTCCCACACTTCAAAGACATGAGGGTTAGGGACTGATGTGAATGTGCAATATATATGTAAAGCACTGCATAAATTGATGGTGCTATATAAGTACCTGTAATAAATAAACAGTCTATGATTAACAAAAGGAAAAGTTCTCTCCCTAAAGAGGCAATATAACTGTAGAAGAAATGAGGGTCTATTACCTCACCTTTGCTATTCCTTCTATCTGTGTGCCCCAAAATTGCTCCAAGAATAGCAATGGTATTATCTGATGAAGGGGTTCAATAATCACTTAGATCAGGGGCTTCCAAACTTTCTCAACAAAGGGCAAGTTTATTGTCCTTCAGACTTTACAGGGGCTGGATTGTTGCCAGCGGGAGTGAAAAATTTCCTGGCATCAGTGGAAGTAAACCACCACATTAGGGGGAGACATAATGCCCCATCATTGGTACTTCTTTACTACCATATTTTTTTAAACTCTGTGTATGGTGAAGACTTGTGAACCTATGGGTAACACAAGCAGACATTTCCCTTAACAAACATCTTCCCCCTGCTCCTAAGTGTGCACTAGTTTCCCTCTCACTGAAACACACAGCAATGTGTGTTACCGTGTATTTGGATGGATGCTCTTTAATAGATTTCAGTGGGACCACACGGTGAAACATACAAATGTATGCTGTAACACAGCCTATCATTGTCTGTTCATTTTCCTAACTTTGTGAATACATGGCAATTTCCCAGCTTGAACAAGCTTTTCCAAAATTGCAATGATACCCAGAGAATCTGAATCAAGCTATGTAAGGGCATGCATGATAGGCTTTTGTTTACCCAATGGGTTTTACATCAACATACAAGTCAATAAGATTGAAAAATCTACTTAAAGCAGATTATATGCATCTATCAGTGACTTCTGAATGATCTGAGAAGGGCCTCAAACTGATAACATCCACACAAGCCCAAAGCCTGTCAACACAGGGACCATACCTCCCAACTTTTTGCATGTACACTTTTTGAGGAATACCTATTAGCAAAAGTATGTAGGCATAGAACACCCCCCCCCCCCCCCCGGTCACACACCCCTTAAAGGAGAATTATACAAAAAAAATGATTAGTTAAACCCACAAGTGCTTTTTTAACTATTACTATTACTTTATACTGTTTTTTTTAATTTACTAATGCAGAAATTTAGAAACTGGATGAAAGGTTTAGCATTGTGAAACCCTTTTTGAAAGATAAATAGTGCATTTTATATGCAAGTGTATGGACCAGACCAAAATGAGGAACAAATGAGGAGGAAAGAGGGACAGAGGGACTTTGTTCCAAATCAGGGACAGTCCCTTGAAATCCAGGACAGTTGGGAGCTATGCCTATGAGCACTGCCGACACTCTACAGAGAGATCAAAATTTACCCTTGTACAGCTTTGCTTGGCTTATCTGTTTCATAAAGTAAGCTCATAAGAGCAGGGCCCTCGATCCCCTCATGTTTTGCATTGTATTGGTATTGTTCTGTCACATGTTCTGTCCCCCTTTGTAATGTACAGCGCTGAGCGAACTATTGGCGCTTTATAAATACTGTATAATAATAATAATAATAATAAAGCAGTCTGTAACCTCTTGCCAAACACGTAATGTAAACTGTGTGTGCAGCAGCAAGGAGGGTGTGCTTTAACACTGGCACACCTCACATATGCATCCATGGTGGCTAAGGATTCTGTGCTGAGAATGCACCATTCCAGCATAGTGATCAAGATGTCACAGACAACTCCTGGTCTCTAGTTATGATCAGGATTTAGCAGGATGGGCTCTCGATCATGTGACAACTGTAACTGCTCCTCTGGTTGTACAGATCCTGTTAAAGGACCGTCCGGAGTGGCGGAACATGGCGGTTGATTTTTTATATTTTTTTATAATCTTGATTAAAGACTTTCCTGTAGTCATCACAGACACCATACCACTCAACACACTATTACTTTTTTGCCCTTATAATACACAGAAAAAATGTTTCCCTTTTTTATAAGAATATTGAAAAAAGAAACCTTTCTAAATATATCTGCCATGCAAGAAATAATGTTGAATTTAAAGCTGAACTCCAGGCAGATAGAAAAGATGCAATTTATAACGTATAGATGGATACAGATCTGCTTTAAATTGTAGTTCTACCCCCTGGAGGAGCTGCTTGCTGGTTTGGGTTCCTTGTTCTTTGCTTTGACTCTGTGGGCCACCTTGGCCTCTCTGTTACACTAGGTTAAGCAGTTAGATTTTGCTCCATTGTTGACAGCACAGAGATGTATACCTTGTACCCAAATATAACTCAGTACCAGAAAGTAGACACCTGACCAGTAAGTGAAAAAAGAACTTAATAAATTGTTACAGCACTGGTGCCCAACCTGTGGCCCTTTGGTATATGATTTGCTGTGCTCAGACATCAGCAGTCTGTAGTGGGAACATTGATTAGAATAATAGCATTGATCTCTACTAGCCTCATATAACATGTTCCCAGTTTCATACTGTTTTCTGAAGCATATCCCCAGCCAACAATGTAGCATGTCCACAATCTCTAAGCATCATTTCTTCCATTAGGTCTGCAGTTTCTGACAGTCCTCTCAAGCATTACATGTACTGAACATTATGTACAGTCCTTTGGTGATGTCAGGCATTTGAGGACCTCTTTAGCTTCTCAGTTGACAACCACTGTGTTACAAATTGAGGTATATATCACCAGTGTCAGAAATGAGTTAATGGAATCACAATGTGCTAGATAACAGGACCACTAACGTTTAGCAAGTTGGTGTGGAGTTCTAGGTAGCAGGAGTAACCTATACCTGGTAACCTACAAATCGGCACAAAGTAAAGGCATTAATGACAATAACTACAATGGTGAACAATGCGGTTATGATTTTTTCCTGCAACCCGTATACTATGCTGTTAGTCTGCACTGTAGAATTAGCTATGCTGAGACCCAGGCCTTAATGTAAAAGTCTCCACTTACTTGTGACAGCAAACACAGTCCTAATAGAGCAACTATCTAATCAGACAGTCCTAGTTCTTTGGATAATGGTAGGGCCCAGTCTTTATGGTGGTGCACATAAATACAGTCTGCATGCAGTAGTATAGACTACTAGTTAAATATCCAGTATCTATGTGCTCTGTCCGTACAAGCAGGAACAACGTCTATGGCAGCAGTGCCCACTCACCAGTCCCATTGGTATGTCAGCAATGGTCCCAGTGTTCAGATGTTCTTTAGATCTGCCTATAATGGCTCCAGTCCTCAGCCCACATATATACAGCACTCCAGTCTCTCTGCAGCAAATGACTGTGTCCCACCAAAAGCTCAGTCCTCAGCCTCTATGGACTCCAATCCTCTCTCTCTCTGGACCCCAGCACACAGGACTCCGAGCTTGTCAGGTGGACACACACGCAGAAAGGCAGGTGTGCTCACTCTGGTCTCTGTGCAGTAAAAGAAAGAGAGCTCCTGGGTCTTCAGCCTAGGAAATACAGCCTTTCTTCCCCCATCCTCACACTGTCTCCTTGTGGGTGACATAGTTCAATGATCCATAGGCTTCCATGGAATGGCTGCCATTTAGGACTTCAACTCCCACAGTCCAATGCGGCAGAATACAAATCTATGGAGATCCTTTGCCTTGTCTGCTCCCCATGCTGGCAAGAGGCAGACAGTGTTGCTGGATCCCTCACGTCAGTTTAATGAGAGCATAGAGAGCAGCTGCAGCACTGTGTTCTAACTTGCTCTCTATCTAGTCAAGCATCTGGCTACACAATGTATTTTTGTAAATGCAAACAGTGTAAGTACCTCACTTTGACTTGGTACTACAGCATTCTGTACAGCAGAGCTCATAGAGGAGAAGGGATAAGCAGCACAAAGAGTCTATCAGGTGTGTTGCAGTGCAAAGAGCATGCTGATAGGGGAGAGAGCAGAGAGTTAACTCATCAGTGTTCGGATTTCTCTTTTTACTGTCCATTCCGTATGGCAGGGATGAGACCTTTATGTTTTACTTAAGAAGGTCTCCAGCCCTGCAAGACAAGGCTGTGCAGTGTAGCAGAGCTGTGCAAATCTCAGGACTGAATGAACATAAATTCAAACCCTTAACAGGTAAAACAGCTCCCACATATGCATTTTATCAATGTATTTTTAGCCATTTAACCACCTTCCGCCCGCCCTATAGTACAATGACGGGCGCAAGGTGGTTCTCTCGTTCTGATAGGACGTCATATGTCGTCCTACCATTCTCACTGCGCATGCGCGGCTCAGGGAGCGCGCAGCGAGGCGATCACCGGTGCGCTGTGTCCCTCGGACACAGCGGATCACGGAAAGAGCTGAAGATGTCGGCTCGGTCATGTGATCAGCCGTGTCCAATCACAGCCAATCACATGTAAACATGGAAATGCCAGTTATCGGCATTTCTCTCCTCCTCTCCAGCTGTCACGCTGACAGCTCGAGAGGAGAGGAGAGCTGGTAATCAGCTTTCCACGGAGGGGGGACATGTACACTGATCATCAGGGAACTGATGATCAGTGTGGCCCCAGAAGTGCCACCTGTCAGTGCTCATCAGTGCCACGTGCCAGTGCCACATCAATGCCACATATCAGTACATACCAGTGCACATCAATGCCACATATTATTATTATTATTATTATTATACAGTATTTATAAAGCGCCAATAGTTCGCTCAGCGCTGTACATTACAAAGGGAGACAGAACATGTGACAGAACAATACCAATACAATGCAAAACATGAGGGGATCAAGGCCCTGCTCTTTCGAGCTTACAATCTAGGAGGGAGGGGGTGGTGGCACAGGAGGAGATAGCTGTGGGGGATGGAGTGGTAGGAAGAGTGGAGGAGGTCGGCAAGTTAGCAGGGGTGGGGTAGGCTTCCCTGAAGAGATGGGTTTTCAGGGTGCGCCTAAAGGAGAGGAGAGTAGGTGATAATCTGATGGGTTGGGGCAGGGAGTTCCAGAGGATGGGTGACACCCTGGAGAAGTCCTGGAGGCGGGCATGGGAGGAGGAGACCAGGGAACTAGAGAGAAGGAGGTCTTGTGAGGAGCGGAGTGTGCGTGCTGGGCGGTACTTGGATATTAGGTCAGTGATGTAGTTCGGGGCAGTATGGTGGACAGCTTTGTACGTCAGCGTTAGGATTTTGAATTTGATCCGTTGCGCAATCGGAAGCCAGTGGAGGGATTGGCAGAGGGGGGTGGCGGAGACAGAGCGGTTGGAAAGGTGAATGAGTCTGGCAGCCGTGTTCAGGATGGACTGAAGAGGGGATAGCCAGCGGCGAGGCAGGCCAGTGAGGAGGGAGTTGCAGTAGTCGAGTCGTGATATGATGAGGGAGTGGATGAGCTGTTTAGTGGTTTCTGGGGTTAGGAACGTGCGGATTTTGGCGATGTTGCGGAGGTGGAGTCTGCACGAGTTTGTTAAAGATTGGACTTGGGGCTGGAAGGATAGGTTGGAGTCCAGAATGACACCCAGTACTCTGGCCTGCAGGGCGGGTTTGATGTAGCGTTGTTGGATGTGACGGAGAAATCAATGGGGGGGGTGTCCGGGCTGGGGGAAGACAAGAAACTCGGTTTTGGAGAGGTTCAATTTTAAGGAAGTGGAGCGACATCCAGTCTGATATGTCGCTTCAGTAGGTGTGTGATTCGGGCTGAGACCAAGGGGGTGAGGTGGGGGGTTGAGAGATAGATTTGTGTGTCGTCGGCATAGAGGTGGTAGTATTGAAGCCGTGAGAGAGTGTATGAGTTGGCCAAGGGAGGAGGTATAGATGGAGAAGAGAAGGGGCCCGAGGACAGAGCCTTGAGGGACCCCAACAGAGAGGGGGAGTGAGGGGGAGGTGGTAGCATTATAGGTAACGCTGAAAGAGCGTTGTGACAGGTAGGATGAGATCCAGGAGAGAGCAGAATCTCTGAGGCCGAGGGAGTGTAGTTTTTTTGAGGAGGAGGGGGTGGTCGACTGTGTCGAAGGCCGCAGAGAGGTCAAGGAGTAGTAGGAGCACTGAATAGTGTCCATTAGCTTTGGCGGTTAGCAGGTCGTTGGAGAGTTTGAGTAAGGCAGTTTTCGGTGGAGTGTAGGGGACGGAAGCCGGACTGTAGGGGATCGAGGAGGTTGTTGTCGTTGAGGTGAGAGCATAGGCGGGTGTAGACTAGGCGCTCGAGGAGTTTAGATGTAAATGGGAGCAGGGAGATGGTCTGAGGTTGTTCGGGTCATTGGGGTCCAGGGAGGGCTTTTTAAGTATGGGGGTGATGTGTGCATGTTTCAGAGGGGAGGGGAAAGTGCCTGAGGAGAGGGAGAGATTGAAGATGTGGGTGAGGGAGCGTAGGATGGAGGAGGAGGAAGGTCGTAGGAGTTGTGAGGGGATAGGGTCGAGGGGGCAGGTGGTGAGGCGGGCATCAGAGAGGGTCTTGGAGACTTCCTCGATGGTAGTAAGGTCAAGGGTGGTGTGGAGTGTTGGGGGAGCTTCAGTATGAGGAATGTAGGGTGGGGTGGAAGAGGAGGTCAGAGCAGTGGTGGGGCCGTGGGAGAGGGGTGATGAGGGGGTAGCTGAGTGAGGGTGAAGGGGGTTGGAGAGAGAGTTTGAGCAGCGACGAATTGTCCCTGCGGGTTATGTCGAGGGGGAGGGGGGATAAGGGGGTAGCTGTGTGAGAGGGGACAGGTTGAGAGGGCGTGTGAGTTGCGGCAATGTCCTTGCGAATTGTGTCAATTTTGTTTTTGAAGTGATTGGCAATCTCAAGGGCAGTGAGTGAGGTGCTGGGTGGAGGTGGGGTGGAGAGAGTAGAGAGTTGAAGGCAGAGAAGAGTCGGCGAGGATTGGAGGAGAGAGGGCCTTGATGAGGGTCAAGAAGTAGGCCTGTTTGGCAGCATGGAGGGAGGAGGTGTAGGTGCGGAAGGCAGATTTGTAGCGGGTGAAGGCTTGTTTGGATTTGGTTTTTTGCCATAGTCGCTCCAGGGCACGACTTTGTCGTTTGAGGGTTTTGGTGTGATCAGTCTGCCAGGGCTGGAGCGGTCGGGGTCTGGTGTTGCGTGTGGTTAAAGGCGCTAGTGAGTCAAGGGCTGTTGAGAGCGCATTGTTGTAGGCGGTCAAAGCCAAGTCGGGGCAGGACAGGGGGAGGATGCGGTCGTGGAGTTGATCAGCTGCAGAGTGGAGGGAGGCAGGGTTAAGGTTGCGGAGGTTACGGCTAGTAGTAGTGTGACATTTGGAGGGGTAGGCGTTGGAGGACGAGGAGATAGAGAAGGTGATCAGGTTGTGGTCAGAGAGAGGGAAGGGGGTGTTTAGTGAGGTTGTGGGGAGCACATCGGTTGGAGAAGACAAGATCAAGGATATTTCCGTCGGAGTGGGTGGTGGATTGTATGCACTGTGCAAGTGCAAAGGAGGAGGTTAGGTGGAGGAGACGGGCTGTGTCCGGGTTGTCGAGGTTGACAGGGATGTTAAAATCCCCAAGAATTATGGTGGGTAGCTCAGAAGAGAGGAAGAAGGGTAGCCAGGAGGAGAAGTCATCCAGGAAGCGGGGTATGGATCCAGGAGGCCGGTATATCACAGCAATCTTCAGGGGGGTTGGGGAGAATAGTCGGACGCAGTGGGCCTCGAAGGAGGAGAAGGATAGGGAGGGGGGGTTTGGGAGGACTCGGAAGGTGCTCTGCGGTGACAGGAGCAGACCAACCCCACCACCTTTACGACCGTTAGGCCTGGGTGAGTGGGTCCAGGTGAGACCTCCATAGGAGAGTGCAGCAGGGGAGGTAGAGTCAGTGGGCTGGATCCAGGTTTCCGTGATCGCCAGGAGGTTTGAGGGAATTACGCGGGAAACAAAAGAGGTCGTGGATGGCGGTAAGCTTGTTGCACACCGAACGGGCGTTCATATCAGTGCCCATCTGAGCTGCCTTTCAATGTCACCCATCAGTGCCACCTATCAGTGCCAGTGTCGCCTATCAGTGACAGTCAGTGCCGCCTATCAGTGCCATATATCAGTGTCATGCATCAGTGCTGCCTTTCAGTGCCCATCAGTGATGCCTGTCAATGCCCATCAGTGCAACCTACTGATGCCTCCTCATCAGTGCCACCTAAAAGTGTCCATCAGTGCATCCTATCAGTGCCCATCACTGCAGCCTCATTAGCGTACATCAGTGAAGGAGAAAAATCACTTATTTTTTTTGACAAAATTGTATAACAAAAACTAAGAAAAAACTATTTTTTTTCAAACTTTTCAGTGGTTTTTGGTTTAAGAAATTTGATGCCTTTTGGAGATTTTTCCATCTTTCCTTGGCTTCTTTATGCACATTAATACAAATTTTTAGCTGGGGTGCCCAAACTTTCGATCCCCCACTATATATAAACTCAAAATTCCTGGCTTGACTTGAACGCCCCTTGTATTGACGCGTATGATGGATCGCTTTAAAGATTCAGAAAATAAATGTCCATTTATTACACAATTAAACTGTACTTCCTACACAAGGAAGTGAGCTGAAAACCCTTCTCTGCACCCACTGTTCGAAAGGAAACCCATAACACCTTATGTTGCTTGCTGATGCAAACTTTTGGTCATACCATATTAGACCACAACATGATAGTACTGTCTGGTTATGAGACAGAAATATACTGAAGCTCAAAAGTAAAAAAGGGCAACTTTTTTGGTCATTATGGTGCAATAGATGGCAAAAAAGGCATAATCAGCATCTCACCTATAACTTGTTTTGTCAAGCTCTGTCTGTCTATGTACATCACTAACTTGTATTTGATAGTTAAAGCAGAAAACCAGGAATGGTCTGTTTTTTAACCCCTTCACAATCAGGCCAATTTTGACATTTCTCACTTACACATAAAAATCAGCTTTTTTTTTTATAAAAAATGACTTAGAACCCCAAAATATTATATAGTTCTTAATCACTTTCAGACCGGACACTTTTACCCCCTTCCTGACCAGGGCAATTTTCAGCTTTCAGCACTATCACACTTTGAATGACAATTGCGCGGTCATTCAACACTGTACCCAAATGAAATTTTTACCCATTTTTTTGAGACAGATAAAGCTTTATTTTGGTGGTATTTATTCACCGCTGGGATTTTTTTTTTTTGCTATGTAAATTAAAAAGTCCAAAAAGTTTGAAAATAGTGTTTTTTTTAAATAAAATTTTGCAAATAAATAATATTTAATCATAAATCTTGGCAAAAATTTATTCCGTTATCTTTTTAGTAAAAAAAAAAAATCCAAATTAGTTTATAACCCAAAATTTAAATTTTTAAACATTTTTTTTTTACATTTTTATTTTATTTTTTTTATATTATTTTTTATTTATTTATTTTTACATACTGTCACTCTAGCAGTACAATGTCACCACGGTGACACTGTACTACTTGTGGGGGGAGATGATTTTTTTTATTTTTTTTTTACACTGATGGCTTTTACACCCATATAGGATGTAAAAGCAATCATTTCTCTTTCTCTCTGTCTGCATTCTTGCAGTCATTGAGAACTACTGAGTGAGCTGTGATTGATCACAGCCTGTCACATGGTACAAGACTGTTGTGAATAGCCTTGTACCATGTGACCTCTGTGATCATCATTCACAGATTTCACACGTAGTAAGCAGTGATGTCACAAGTGACATCTTGCTTACTACTTTGCATGTGATCGCTGATTGGCCAATCAGCGATCACATGATCAGGACCTCATATAGAGGTCCCGTCCGACGATCGGTGTTCCACTGTGTCCGGAGGACACAGCAGGCACTGGATTGCGATGTTGTGCTCTCCCAGGGAGCGTGCACAAGCAAGGTGCGGGGAGGCTGTTTATAAACGGCCACCCGACCCTGCACTGCCACCGTCCGGCCGTTTATATACAACGGCCAGCCGGGAAGTGGTTAAGATAATAAAATGGTAATTATTGCAATTTTTTTTACATTATATTGGAGCAGCCATATTTAAAAACACAAACACAATATAATACCCATTTTTAATTAAAAGAAATGTAAAAGAATGTTATGCCCAGCAAATAGATATAAATTTTTTTTATGAAAATTTTTTTTATTAAAAATTTTTATTAAGGGAAAGGTTTTTTAAAATTTTTTAAAATTTTTTTTCCGGTTAAGGGTCGGACCCGCCTTACTAGCAGGGACAGCTAGTAAAAAAAAAAAGCCAAAAACCCGAAAAAAGGGAAACCTTTGTTCCTTTTTGGGTTTTAAACACTATAGAACCCCCCAGAAAAAGTTCCGCACGGGCACCCGGCGGGACTTAAAAGCTATAAAATGCAGTGCAACACCCCCCATTCCCCCCCCTGCTGGTAAAAGTGATTGACGGTTTTGTTTTCCACTCAGCCCATTTTCACCAAAAAGGGCTTTGCGGAGCATAAAATAACTTGTGAGGGCTGCAACCATTATCCTGGAATCAACACCAAACATCTCCGAGGACCTTAATAAAAGAAATCAATTGGGAATGGGAAAACTTTCATCCTGTGTTCCTGTCGACTTTTTGCAGACCCTGCCTGACCCCGACCTCTGCT